AATAGGTCCACATTTCTACCAGCTTGGCCGCATAGAAACTGGGTTCAAAAATTAATTTTATTTGTAAAGTGTCGATAATGTGACATGTAGTTTTGTGATATATCTATCATGCCCTTGTTATTTTTTTCTTTTTCTTTTTTTACATGAAATTAAGCTCCATCATGGTCTGTTCCAACCTAATCTTGCTGGTCCCAACCCGAAAAGCAGTAGGAAGGTTGTGTTAGGCTGGCAACTAGCGTAATTTTGCTAAATCTATTTCATAATCTTGATTCGATGTCAGATTGAGGGTATAGCCTAGGGGTGGCAACAGGTCGGGTCGGGTCTAGACTCAGACCCAAAAAAAGATATGGGACCGAGACTTGTACCAAGACTCGACCCAAAAAATTAGAATATCTATGTATTTTATTATATTGAAATATATTTCATATATTGGGATACATTACTGGACGCGGACTCGGAGCCAGACTCGAATAGTGTTCGGGTCCAAGATTTGAACTCGACCGGACTTGCCGGGTCCAATTTTTGGACCCATACCTGGGGTGGACCTAGGGGTGTATTATTATTTGTATTTGAAGTCTAATTAGAACTAGGGTGGACCTAAGGGTGTATTATTATTTGTATTTGAAGTCTAAAAAAATTCTCTTACAATTGATGTAGAATAGGGTCCATGTAGAAATTAGTTCCCTATTAAAAATTAAATTTTGAGATGGACTTTTTAACCCAATTTTTAAGGACATATAATCTCTAACATGGAGATCATGAATATGAAAATTAAATAAATTTTAAAAATTAAAAGTAATATTTTATTAAAAAAACATTTAGACCGTTAGCTTCAACTATTTTTAGATGGAGCACTCATATGCATCCATCTTAAAGATGGATGCTTTATACCTTGGGGGACGCAAATGTAGAAATGTGTCCCTATGTATCCCTCGATGCATAGAACAATTTTCCATAGAATAATGGTAAACGTGTAGTTGCTCGATTCCACATTTGATTGCTAAAGGTGAATTTAGCATTTTTCTACCAAATATTAATCACCTTACTAGTGTTTTAAAGGACCTGGTTTCTATGCGGTCAAGCCCGTATATGTAGAAATGCGGGCTTCTTAATAAATCTATTTTTGAAATGCATTTTGAGACTTAATTTTAAGGATATGTAATCTCTAACATGGAGATCATAAATATGCAAAAAAAATTAAAAACTAAAATAATAATTCAAGTAAAAAAACATTTGGACTGTTAGTTTCCATTGTTTTATATGGAACACCTACTTGCATTTATCTTTAAGATTGATTCTTTATACTTTCTAGATTGCATATATAGAAATGCAGTCCAACCTATATGAAACAATTTTCCTGTTTTAAAACATAAAACTATGGTAAATTGCACACCCACATATTCCAACCAGGATACACTAGATTGATGATTCAAATAAGGCGAATTAGCGTTTGAGCCCAACTAAAAACACAAAGAAGTGAAGGAAAAATACTCTTTTATAGGCATGTTTGAAGATGTTAAGTCATTCTATGTATAAATTACATATAGAGGGCCAGCCAACACATCGATCCAGTCCAAGAATCAAACGATGACCTACAATTCTCAATCCAAATCAATGATTTTTCAAACACGCTATCTTACGATATAACATTTACAATTAAAAAAAGTAGTGAGAAAAGATACAAAGACTTATGACCTTACTGACAGTATAACCATTAATAAAGCAGAATAGCGGATCAAGATTCACGTAACCGGCTTCAATTAGTTGAAAAAAGCTCGATGATGATGAATAAAAGAAAGGGGAATCCTTCTCAGCCATGGCAATAACATTAGTTTCTCTATTTTTAGTGGTTTCTTTTTCTTTCTATCCTAAGTCACCTATCCTTTTGTGGTTTTTAAGTATCTCTTTTCTCTCTCTGCACTAATTTCTCTCTTTCTATACTTTTAAGGTTTTAAGTCGGTCTCTCTTGTAGGCACATAGTATCTCTCTTTGTTTTATTGGTTTTTCTTTCTTTAGCCCAAGCCACCTATCCTTTTGAAGTGGTTTTGAGCATGTATATTCTCTCTCTACACTACTATTTCTTTTTTTTTTTCTCTCTCTATAGAAATTTATCTTTCTTTTTGTAGCCTAAGCAACCTTATCTTTCCTTTCCCCATAATTAATACATACAGGATAAGATGAGCAAACTACCACCCCTTCCTCTTCTTCTCTATACCACAAATTACATGACTAACAAATTCTCACTAAACAAATAAATATAAATCAGTATCAATCTCGATTAGATAGGAAAAGGCTTTGACGACGATGATGAAAGAAATAGAAATCAATAAAAAACATACATACACCAGTGCTTAAAAATTCATAATTGGCCAAGGTCCAATTTTTTATTCTCCGATCTAACTTAAGTAACTGGAAAATTTTGCAATGAAAATTTTAAAAATTAGAGAACCAAAAAATTAAGCGATTCCAAGGATTCTCAGTCCATTATCATTCTCCTCACAATCTTGAGCCGACTCTGACAATTCCGATTCAAATTGACGATTTTTTAATCATTAGGCTAAAGATATTCCATTTACATATTAAATAATTTTCATGCCTCCAATTTATGCATAAACTATCTTATAAGATCTAAATCCCATTTCTTATTGGAAAAATCTTATCTAAGGTCTCTATAAGATGCATCTAAAAAGTCCTCTAGAAGAGGGTGTTCCAAAATTTAGAAACCCACGACTCGATCTTGAGATACATGAATATGAAAAAAAAAAAAATTGAAGTCTTTAAAATATTGCATCTTACGACAAGTGATTTGGACGGCCTATTTTAAAGATTTTTAAGTGTTTATAGATATATTCGATCTATATTATTCGTGAAATGATAGGGTTTCTATGAGTCAGCCAACTCATACTGTACATATGAGGGCCCCCACTTACACCTATCGTAAAATGGATTTTTAATCCAAAACTTCAGGGATTCATGATCTAGGTTAAGATGATCATGAATATAAAAAAATATAATTTTTTTAAAAATTGATGGATGTCGGTGAGTTAGCAGGCTCTTACACTCGTTGGATCTTGAATAGCTTTTCCTATTTAAAATTCTAAATTTTATAACTACAAATAAAAATAGACTTTGAAGCTATTGTAATATTTTTATAGATTGTATACAATGAGACCTAATGCTTTGGATACAAGGAGGTCACAATTACTTATAACCAAAATCTGATACTTAAGGCGTGACATAAAGTTTGAAAAAATTTCTTTTGAAATTTGAGTTTGATTAATAAAATAAATGTATCTACCAAATTCAAGATTAATTGTGAACATCTTATACCAAAAGTAAATGACCCCATTACATACTTTTTTATATTTTTTACATCAAAAATATATCTTGAAACAAAATTTAGAGAGAATGTGTGCAAGTATAAAGAGGGCCTTTTTTAAACCTCGTCGTTTTTAATTTTCATATAAAAATTTGAGAGAAATAGTCAGGGACAAATAAGAGAATTGCACTATTACTCAATGTTATTTCCGTCGAATTCAATACGTTCATACGCTACTCCGTAACGGCGACGTTACGAACCTGTCCTATAAAATGAAGGCCTGTGCTCCCGCCCTTGTGGCTAATCTTGAGCGCGTAGAAAAGCTAAGGAAACAAGGAAGAGAGAGAAAGAGAGGAAGAGAGAGAAAGGAGGAGAAAAGGCAAATCTGTAATTACTTCTCTCTTGTGGCGGATTCCTCTCTATATCAGACGTTAATTTGGCCGGGAAATCCTTTTTCCCTGCGATTTGTGGCGGATTCCTCTCTCTCTCTCTCTCGATATCAGCAACTTTGGCCGGGAAATGCTTTTTTCAGGCGATTTTCAATGATTCCTGTCATCTTACGGGAGAGTTTTGATTCATTGTTCTAGGGTGAATCTCCTGCCTTTTCCTGTGGTTTCCCGCCAGTTTGTCCGTTTTCTGACTTTTTATCTGGCTGTGAGGGATACAGAAATCAACCATTTTGATGGTTTTCTGAGAGCATTTGGTGGTTTTTCGGTTGGTTTGTGAGCCCTTAGGCAATTTTCTTGAGGTTACTGGCCCAATTGCTGCTGGATTCGGCCTGAATATCTTTTATCCTTTATCTGGGATTTCAGGCAGGGTGCCTTAGGGTTGTTCTTCTGATTTCCTCTGATTCGGTTTGTGCCCGAATTTAACAAATTCAGGCCGGTACTTACTGGAGTCCGGCAATTAGGGAGAGTCTTCGAAATTTTTCTCACTGGAAACCCTAATTTTGCGCTCTCTATGTGTTTCTGCACTGGTTCTTAGGCGAGTTTGGTTCCGGATTTTGAATCTTCCTTTTTCTGGCACCAGGGTTCTCTGTTTCAAAGCTTTCTCCTGATATCTTATTGATTGGTTTTTGTGGTTTAAGAGATTACAAATGTTGCTGAAGCTCTATTTTCTTTCGCACTACAGATCCAGATAAGGGTTTTTCCAGCTTAAAATCCACCATATACAGCGATACAAAGGTAAGCCATCTTTAGGTGCTGTTTATTTTCAGGGTTTCAAAGGCACCTGGTTCGCAATTATGTCAGGATTTGTGAAATATAGTGTACTTAACGTTTTCTCTTGTTTATGATGCGGCCTAATCTGGGATTTTTATCATAATCTCTTCTTGAGTAATTTGTGGGATTACTGGTTTCATGCATTCTTCGTAGGTGTAAATTGGGCAGAAAATTGTATGCTTCCGGGATTTCATCTGGTCAAGATAAAAATCCTGAAGATCTATGGTCATAGAGTGTGTGATTCCCAAATTGTAAGTGACTTTGAAATTGGGGGATTTTGAAGGATCATTTGATTGATCAATTTTTAATTAGGAAATTTGAAGGACTGGTTTCCAATTTGGAGGATTTGGATTTCACAAGTGCAAACAGTCACCGGTTAGCAGAAGTTGAAGCTTAGCGAAGAAATATGTAATTTGTGTGCCAAGCATTGGAAGCTTTGGAGAATCATTTATACCTCAATCCCTTTTTTGGAAGCCGGAGGTAATGAATGATGACCCAAGTTAACTTCAAATTTTGAATGAATCTTTCTGGCCTTCAAAGCCTGCTCTGTTTTTCTGGTATTTATTGGTGATCATCGAAGATACTTTCCAAAATTACTGAATTGTACACTCTTTTTTTAGTCTCATAGGAGTTGTGTGAATTTCCTATAGAGCACCCTGTGAACCTTGTTGACTCTACTTCTAGAAACGAGTCTTTATTCTGGATAAAGTGGCTGCTACTTCAGCCCATAAATGCAGACCAAACCCAGAATCTCCCCTTCTTATCCTATCCCTGAAGACCACTTCGACAGATTACCTGACTCTTTGCTCCTCATCATCTTCAACAAACTAGAGGACGTCAAATCTCTTGGCCGATGCTTTGCAGTCTCGAAACGATTCAATTCCCTTATACCCGAAGTCCACAATGTGCTGGTAAAGTTCGATTGTGTAATCTCAGGAACAGATGATGATGACCCCAACTCTTCTATTCTCCCTAGACCTAGAAACCTCTTCTCCCATTTCTTCAAACTCATGCTTGGTGCCTTTCTAAAGCCGTTCCATAGCCTTCGAACTAACAACAACAAGCCTCTTTTCCCTCAATTAGCTCACCATTCACCAGCCCAAGTCCTTAGAAATTTCCACCATGTCCACCATCTTCGGATTGTACTTCCTACTGGTGATCTTGGAACCGATGATGGGGTCCTCCTCAAATGGAAAGCTGAATTTGGAAGCACCCTTCATAGTTGTGTCATTTTAGGGGGAACCAAGATGGAGAAGAAACCTGTTTCAGACCATGAACCCCTTGATGACAATGGGAGCTTCCCTGAATCTTTCTACACAAATGGGGGGTTGAAATTGAGAGTGGTTTGGACCATAAGCTCACTCATCGCAGCCTCAGCTAGGCATTACTTTCTTCAACAAATAATTCGGGAGCACCCAACTTTGAAGAGCCTGGTTTTGACCGATGCAGATGGGCAAGGGACATTGAGTATGGGTATTGAACAGTTGAGAGAGTTCAGAGAGAAGCCATTAGCTGCTTCTGCGGGTTCTAGCCGAACCCAAGTTCCAGCATTGAATATGAAGTTGAGATATGCTCCTTATTTGGAGTTACCTGATGGTATGGGGATGCAAGGGGCCACTTTGGTGGCAATTAAGCCGTCCGGTGAGCTGGGGAGTGGTGGGAATAGTAAGAGAGAAGCAGAGGCTTTTGTTTGTGGAGCTTTTGATGGGCCCTTTAAGGCAGCAGTGAAGGCGCTTGTGAAGAGGCGGACATATCTGTTGGAGATGAACTCATTCTAGTTTGAGAGGCATACACAGTTTTGCTTGGGTTATGAGGTATCCATGTGCCTCTCTCTCTCTTGTTTTGTATATTCGCTGTGGTAACGGTTCGTTTACATACACACATACTTATAGTCACATTCAAAATTGCTTGTATTCTTTGTGCGTCTCTGCGCATGTGTGTGTGAAAGAGAGAGCATTGTTTTGCTAATTCTCGTATGCGGCGAGCTGGTTATGTCTAGTCTACTGGTATAGGAAGATTGACCTCAGACAGCGATGTAGGTTTTGAAGCTTAATTCTGTTGTGGGCATCCTTGTGTACATATTAAATACTTTCACTTTGTTTTTCTTTGAATGAACAGTAAAATTTAGTCCTTTGAAGTGTCATGGTCTGTGTACTAGGTCCTGATATCTAGTTGAACAGCAAAACTTTTTGTAGTTCAAAAATTCTCGCTCTCTTTTACGAGGATTTTCGTCATTACAGTTATTGGAAGATAAGTCTTTTTGTCAAGTGTTTTGTCCATTGCCACAGTTCAAGATAATCCCATTTCTGGTGTTCCTTTCTTTCCAACGAGTGTTCTACATAGTCGAAGCAGGTGCCGACTCGAGGACCCCGTGAATTTTAATAAGACAAATTTTACTTTCAAAAAACTGGCGGACTTGTGATTCTGTGGTGTTTTCGCAAGGAATCACCATACTTCTGATCCGGCCTGACTCTGGCGAGTTGGACAGGCGATTTATGAAACACTGTTTGTTCATCACTCTTTGGCTGAAATAATGTTGTGGCCAAGAATATCAGCAAACAGTTTCTGTTTGTTACTCTTTTGTGAAGGGTGCGGTTTCCTTAGGGTCGCAGCTTTACCATATATGATAAACTGTCTCGAAAGCCCACATGAAAATGGGGGTGGCAATGGACACGACCAAACCAGGGAGCCCATGGGTAGACCCGATCTTGGGTCCAAGTATGGTTCCAAATTCTCCGACCCGAAAGGTCGGGGATCCGACCCAAATAATATAGGTATATGTAGATATTCATAAATGTTGCCAATACATTTGTTTTTGCGAAATTTTCAGTTATTGCGTATAACAGAAAAGGAATTTTTAGTTATTGTGTAGAACAGTAAGGAATGTGGGTATCCATAAATGTTGTGCAATGCTGTAAATGTTGATATGGATATATGATGGTAAAAAGAGGGCAACAAAAATAAAAATAAAAATAAAGGACCTCATAGTCATAGGGTGGCAATCGACCTGACCAAACCCGGCAATTGACCTCGGGTCTGGGTATAGGTCCAAATTTTGGATCCAAAGGGTTCCGGTTCAAAACCTCGACCTAAATACTATTTAGGTCTTGATCCAGACCAGACCCATAGCCACTGTTAGATGAAAATGCAATTCCAGTTTGGAGCCCATGCAAATCTATTTCCCCCTTGGCAATTGAATTTGAAACTTCAAAAATAATGAAGATTTTTTTTTGTAGATAAGTGAGCCCTTCAGCAGTCCAAAAACTATGTTACAAATAAACCAATTTTAAGGTTATTTTCAAATCTGTTGTAGTCGAGCTTGAGATGATCGATTTGAAGGTTCTCCAATACTAAGCTGCATTTTACACTTTTCAATGAGATGTAAGCTGCGGCTTTATAAAGCTGCGCCTTGCGAAATACTTTCCTTTGAATAATGCTTGACATGTATGATGGTTATTAGGCTCATATGAAATGTTTGCTTATATCCTTTGCTCAATTCCATTTGTATATCTAATCATAAGAATATATTATTTTCTTCTCCTAACGTAGCTATAATGTGGCTTTAGGACCTACTACTCTTCATGAGCAGATATTTTGATTGATATCTGCTCATGAATTTTGATTGATATCAGCCAAATTCACGAGAAAAAGAGTAGGGATGGCAATGGACTCGACAGGTAGGCCCGACCTTGGATTTGGGTATGGGTCCAAATTTGGATTCGTAAAGTTGGGTTTTGGTTTAAGACCTGGACCAGAATACTATACGAGTCTAGATCCACCCTATAAGAGAGAGAGATAAATGATTTCTCATGTAATAGGTTATATTAACAAGAAATATTGTAAAGAAGATATTTTGCTTAACAAGAAATATCTAAAAAAGAAACAGGTTATATGAATAAGAAATATCAAAGAAATATCTGAGAAAGAAAGGGTCAAATATCCAATGGGATACTTGGGGTAACAAGTGAAAGATGTGGTGTTCCGGCAGATGCACGTGCTCCTTCGAGATAAAACTCATGTTAGGAATATTTTTGGAAGCCGGGGTGTACCTTTAACTAATAACTGACTTAAAATAAATAAATAAATGAAACAATTATATATATATATATAAAAAAGAACGGCAGTAATTTGGTAGTGGTCCCGCCTAACTAAGGTCTCAAGAGGGGTGGGCTGGAAATGGTCTTAACATTTGGCTTGTGCACAAAGTGGCTGCTCTCAAGACTCGAACGCATGTACTTATGTAGGCTACCCGAGCCTTTTACCATCACACCAATTATATATGTGCCTCGAAAAATTAACATCCCAAGATTGAACAAAAAAGTCTAATTTTTTTAGGAAAAAATCTAAGTGGTCAAGTACTTAAAATTATTATTATTTTCTTGAAAATAATTATCTAATTATACTTCAATAGATCCTAAAATTTCAGATAAAAAAAGATCTCCCTAGGTACTCTTTTGCCTTTGGGAGTTGTACAGTATGCTCCCAATACGTGCCCGACAAGGTGGTTGGAAACTAAAATGGCCACCTGGTAGACTTGTTGGAACTAAAAGAGGAAAATATCAACAAGGTGGTCGTCAAACCAATTCTAAGAATTGATGTGGTAGTGAGGTGGTTGGATCAACGAATATACTAACAAAACGATTTCTTCTAAACACCATTTCAGTTAGGCACCTATTCAATTATTTGCTTAAGGTACCCTATAATTAGAACATGATCAAGTGCGGCCATTGTGGTAATTTAGCTACTTATTTTACTCGAGCCAAATAACTTAAATAACCCTAATTATTGTGGGTTCCAAACTTGAAAAATGGTTTTCATTGAAAAATTATTAGTTTTAGAAAATGATTTATGTTTTTCCTTTAAGGCAGTTATTTTAAAAAATGGATCGATGTTTTGGATCGGTATTCTAAAAATCGGTATGGATCGATGAATCGGCAGTCCAGATTGCTGTGAAAAAAATAGTAAATCGGCGAAAAAACACGTGAAAAAATAATGAACCGGCCAAAAATTAGTCCGAATCGGTAAATCGACAATCCGGATCGTCGTTTTACCGTAGAACGGTCAGGTTCCCTTATAGATTAGATCGTTTTTCCATATATACGCAGAATTGGAATGAGGTGACCAATTCTCATGTCAGACCGGGGCAATTCCATGCCAACCCGTTTTCTAAATCATCGAGTGCACACATATTGTTTAGCATGTCATCAACGATCATGGATAGAAGTGTCACATCGAGTATGAGGTTGGATCAAAATTGGGGTTGTTTTATGCATGCGTATTATGCTTAACATGGCTAACCAGGCATACTGGATTTTGACATGAAGTGGACATTAAGATTCTTTGAAATATATTCACATTCATTGATGTGAATATGTGGACATCAAGATTCTTTTAAATACATTCACATTCATTGATGTGAATATGTGATTAGATGTTCATTCATGTATTGTATATTTATTTGTAGGAAAAAATTTATATAAGGTGCTAATCTTAGACTATAGAAGCAAGGTGCACAGAGAAGGTTGTTCTAATGTTTGAAAATCCTCCAATTGTTATCATCTCGACTCGAGATTTATGGATGAGGAAAAAAAAAATTTAAGTCTTAAAAATAGTTTTTCTACCACATTATCTGAGCCATCAATTTTCAAAATTTTCGAGTGTTTGTAGATCCACTTAAACGTCATCGATTTTGGAATATTAATTTCATAATTAAGGATGGCAATAGATTTTCATGCACCAATAATATAAGATTGACCTAATACAAACATCACGCTTGTTTGTATGCGTATGCTCATGCATAGAGCTGGCAATGGACGGTTGGATAAGTCCTAAAAAACCAGATGGGCCCCAGAAAACCAAGCTGGGGCCACAAGAGTTGGTCTGAAGGCAGCTAGGGTCAAGCCACCTTGGTTCTAGGGCAGGCGGTGCTGGACCAGGCCAATCTTAGGCTGAGGTCATGGCTGGCCTTGTCCTGGGCCTGGTCATTTTCACTTTTTTAAACATCATTTTGTCAAATTCCACGAGGCCTGGTCTAGGCTTGGCCAAGTAGTAAGGTGCCCAGGGTCCATGCCCATCAGCTCAGGACCGACCTCTTGTGATCTAGGATATCATCATCGTCATCATCGTCAAAGCCTTTTCTCAAATAATTGGGTCGGCTACACGAATCCTAGTCCTCAAACCTAGGAAATATGAGAAGTAATATGGAAAGAAGACATTCCCCAACCTGATGGTATTGAAGACAAAGAACGGAGAAGAATACTTCATTCATGTTTAGAATACAAGAACCATCACATAGTGAATACATAATGAATGCTCAGAATAATACAAAAGCAAAATAAGAAATTATCACAGCATTTAAAAGAACTGCAAAGAGAACTTTAACATTCAAAAAAGAACTGCAGAGAGCACACTATTAGGCACCTTTGCTACAAGAATCAGAACTCATCTCTCCACCTTTTCAGTGAGGACATAAAATCCTTTATACACATTTGAGTGTTATCCATTTGAATGCTCTTCTATTCGACTTTTTCCCTGCGCTTCCTCTCTATAGACTCCATTGCTTCTTCAAATGATTTCTGCATTTGAACAATCAGACATGCTTAAATCTTCAATTCGAGAGAGAGAGAGAGTGAGAAATCCACCTCTCCCATTTTCTGCATTTGATAATCGGACATGCTGTGAATCTTCAATTGGAGAAAGAGAGAGAGATCCACCTCTCTCATTAGCAACAAGCTAGGATAAAACCAAAAAGTGAAAATAATAACCTCCTGTCTCATTTTCTGCGCCCCGTGGCCCGAATCTATGGAATCTCCTGCCACTGAGCCAGGTTATTGATGAAAGCACCTTTGACACAACCTAGGTGGTCACTTGATGGCAAAAACCTTGACGGAAGACACCATATCCCCCCACCTTCATTTGGGAGACTGCCTGGTCATTTTAATCTATGTTTGTAAGTGTTACTCATCAATCTCCACTGACCAAATGAATAGATGATCGAGATGGCATAGGAGGATACTCTTATGATCCTCATACAGGTGGACTGCAAGTTTCTCGAAATCAAATGATCAAAATAAAGAAGGCCACAGGTATTGAGCATCTATCAAGGTTCAAGGCTAATTTCTCCATCCATCTTGAAAAACAAGCGAAATAAAATCTTAGTGGTTGGCATCAAACTTCTAAAATAGATGGGATCATAATATTTAGAAGAGATCTGACTATGGAAAACTTGGTAAAGCGACCAACTAATGTGTCCACCTGGTAATCGAAGGATTAGGACTTGGACACATCCCAAATTAGTGCAATTCCATCTCTGCATAAGCTTCATGAATTTGCAGCTCCAAAACCACTACAGATGATGATCTTTAAAGAAATAAAATGAATAGTTCAAAAAACAGAAAGAGCCCCAAGATGGACCATTTTTAAGACTCAATGCTCTTTTTTTTTTTTTCTCAGATTCATAATAGGGGTGGTCTAGATGACAGACCTGCAAATATTGGATCCAAGATCCATATCCAAGATGGATTTTGGGAGGGGGTGGATTCACTGTAACAGGTGCATCCCTGGACGAACCTTAACCCTACCCTTTTAAGTGCAGTTCTCTAGGCTTCTAATTACTGCCTAAGCCCATGTTGGCAGATTTGGGACATGGGACCTGGTGACTCAGGATGGCAACAACATGGTACATTGAGATCCAACGCAACAAAATAAAATATTTCTCAGGGACAATAAATTATCGAATATCTCTCTCTCTCTCTCTCTCTCT